TGGGACGTCTGGTGGGTAAACAACAGAGACTGTGAGTAGTGGGAAACAAAATGAAGCCTAGAGGCACAGCAGCCCCACACCAGCTCAGCAACACCACTAAGTACATCCAGATTCCTCTTCTCAACCTCCTCTACAAACAAACTAAAATCTTCTGTTGCTCTAGACAGAGGAGCCTGAACTTTCCCAGGGACAGCAGGTGCTAAACGCAAGAACTGGAAAAATATCTGTTCTCAAGCGCTTCTGTCAGCAGCCTTTCAAATCAGACTGTAACCTGCCTGCTGGCTGTTAAGCTAATGATGAGACAGCTCTAAGCTTTCTTAATTGCTGCAAAGCAGATCAGAGCAGTTCAGGAACTTCAGGAGTTTTGCACACTATTTGTTCTAATGTTTCTGTTTTGGGGTTAGGTTTGGGTTTTTTTTGCAGTTGATGGGTTTTGTTTTGGGTTTTTTTTAAAGTACTCCCACCGCCCATTCTCAGCTCATGCCTAAACTGGAGAACCAGCCTCTAGTTAGGGACACTGCCAGAGTTACACTGCTAGCTGTTACGCTACTATGAGAAGCAGAAGATAGAACAAATTCCTAAACTGAGATATCAAAATACAGAAATTTCAGCTTATCCTGGAAAACATTGCCCCCAGTACAGGGAACAATCTAACGCTTTTCAAAGGAGAAAGTACTGAAACACGTAAAGGATTCAGTGTCTGGCACAGTTACTTTGTTGTTGTTGTTGTGAGAGGGGTCATGACATCCCAGTCCAAAATAACCCACACTCAAGCGGGTAGAAAGCATAGCTGCTGCAATCACATCTTTTAAAGCAGTCAGCATTATACAGCAACAGTCACAGACAGTCACAATCCTTCTCCTAAGGAAGAAAAGAAAAAAGAAAATAAAAGAAAAAAAGAAAAGAAAAAGCCCACTCCTGTATTTTTCTTTCCTCTTTGTTCTCTCTGCTCCTCTCCTGAAGTCTCTCATTCCTCTTGGCTTCTCAGATCTTAATTACTTCCTATATCCCTCTGATCCTTGTCATCTAATCTCTTCCTCACTCACTGAGAATCTCATGTTTACTTCTCAGTCCCTTTGAGCCATTGGAGTAGCTCTGCAGACTGCAAAAAAAAGAAAAAAGGGTGACACAGCATCTCCAGTTGGCTAAAGGGACAGCGAGATCTATGATACTATGTCAGGCTTCTCATCTTAAAGTACCCCATGCAGAAGAAGCATCAGAACGTCTCCATCAGTTACCTCTCATGAGGGTAAGCACTGTCCCCTTGTACACGCCACGAATCCCAGCCTCGCGGTACAGCTGTTTTGCACAGTCCAAAGAGCCACTGTATTTAGTTTCACCTGTAGCTGCCTGGATCTGAAGGATTAAAGTGATAGTTTCTGACTAGTGAAGGTTTCTGGCTGGTGAACAATCGTTCAGCTAATAGTTAGAAAGCCACGTGCATGTTTCCAGAGAGGAAGGAGCACATACTCGTTCCACAGGCACTCCTGCATATGAAACCTCTGCATCACTTCCTCAAACAGCTCTCTCACATTCAAGCTGAGGATATGTTTACTGTTCCATGCAGAGGCTAGATTCTCCCTTATTTTTTCCCAGTGTAAGTTTGAAACAACTGAAGTCAGTTAGGTAATTCTACACTTGCACTGACAAAAAGTAGCCTTCAAATAGTTTAGCGAAATTCAAACAATTTGCATGTGTGTAAATGCTCCCATGATAATACCATGTCTGTCAGAACTAACACGTGACCACCCATCACCATACTAACTGAGTTCAACATAGTCTGAAATAAGCAAACCTCCTCATCTCTGCTAAAGACAGTTTTTTCATTTGTTCAGGTTTATGTTTTCCAACAATACTTTAAAAACCCTGGAGGAGGTGTAGAGCTAACAGTCCCCCAAACATGAGAAAACTATTTCATGTATTTTGAAATGCATTCCTCAATTATGTTTTGGGAACCTGTCAAGGTAACAGAAAATCTTTACACTAGAGTCTTATGATTTAGTAGTTTTGCATTTTTTTTAGAAAATGTTTCATTCTGAAAAACTGGACTTTTCCCTACTTTGAAGTGGTCTGAGGCATCATTGATGCCTTATATAATGCCACATAGTGTAAGGCTTGTGCTCTGTAAAATGAATAGAGCAATGAATGCTGTATGTACTTATACTGTCATGGTGAGTTTGTGTAATGCTTCTTCGTGACACAGTTGCATTAAATGACAGTTGTCTCAGTCCTGTCAAAAAACAGAACAGAGTAAATACACTAACCAAAGAAGTTCCTGGTATGGAAAGACAAGATCCCCTAAAATTAAATTCCCATCACCACCATCCAATGCCTTACCTGTAAAAGGCACTTGATTCTCTCTCCTGGAGCCATGATCACTGTGGTGAACACTCCCGACAACATGCCAGCAGCAAACAGCTGAGGATATCTGCCCCGAGGAAACAGAAGAGACCCTAACACAACACAGTACGTAGGAAATGAAGGGCAGAAAGACCCCTGTATCACCAGATTATGCTGTTCCACACAAGGCTGGCAGTGCTGGAACTAGAAGTGCACCCACTGCTTTTGATCAGTGCAGAAGTGCCTCATCAATGCATAATTAGAGCTAAACATTTAAGATCTCTAGGATTCAAAGCACTGGTTCCCACAGCAACCATAACTCAGCTCTTCACATCCATTGTATTTGCTAATATTCCTTGTACTTGTATTTTTTGCTACAGTATTCCCCATTCATTTTTATTCCAACAGTCTCTTCCTCCTCCAGTCTCCCAGGCTCTTCTCAGTGACCCCCAGCTTCCACACATATTCCTTCTTGTGCAGCCAGGAGCCTCCTTTCCATAACCGCTCGGTCCCTCACTCCTTCAGCCTCTCCCATCATCGAGCCTGTCCTACCAACCTGCCATCATCCCACGCATTCTGCATCTGCTTTCATGTGCCAGAGCCTCCATGACAGAAATGCCTTTAACAGGCTGAGTTTCTCCATCAGAGACTTACCTTTACATCCAACCTCCTGCTACCTTCCCTAGTAAGATGACCAATTTAACTAAATTCCACAACCTCCCGCTTCTCTCCACTTGCCCAAGAGATGGCACTCTATTCAGGTTTTCCAATTCTTACACCTTTCTTTACTCTTAAATTCCCATTAAATCTTCCAGACCATTCAGACCTCCCTTACTACTCCACATGCACCTCCTGCTCAAACCAAGCTTTGAGTTTTCTAGCTCACCTTGGGGTTATCCATAGAATCATAGAATAGTTTGGGTTGGAAGGGACCTCTAAAGGTCATCTAGTCCAACCCCCCAGGTGCAGGACCTTGCACTTGGCCTTGTTAAACCTCATGAGGTTCACACAGGCCCACTTCTCCAGCTTGTCCAGGTCCCTCTGACGGCATCCCGTCCCTCTGGCTTGTCAACCGCACCACTCAGCTTGGTATCATCTGCAAACTTGCTGAGGGTGCACTCGATCCCACTGTCTATGTCATTGATGAAGATATTAAACAGTACTGGTCCCAATACGGACCCCTGCGGGACACCACTCGTCAGCAATCTCCATCTGGACATTGAGCTGTTGACCACTACCCTCTGCATGCGACCACCTAACCAATTCCTCACCCACCGGACAATCCACCCATCAAATCCATACCTCTCCAGTTTAGAGAGAAGGATGTTGTGGGGGACCGTGTCAAAGGCCTTACAGAGGTCC